CCCTAGAATATCCACAGACGCCGTTTCCTTCACATGAGCAAATTATAGAGTAAGTTGTGAATCGAAACTTTTTTTTTCGATTGGCGTCTCCTATGAGCATTCTGATGATCAATAATGATTCTTTGCAGGAAAATTGAATTGAACCTTCAATGGGTTCGCGAAAACATTTCTCAGAAGGACTCGGGTCTCCTTATCCCGAATAATTTTCAACAAACCGCTCCAAATCATGACGAATTGAGATCTCACACGTTTCATCACACTTATGATTTGAGTGAGTAAATTTGGATTTATTAAGTGAGAGAACATTATTTCAAAGATCGTTACTTACCAGTTGGAATATAGGTCAACCGTTCTTGAACCCACAGACCGTGGCTTTTACAAATATGCTGAACATTGAGAATAAAATTAATTCTAATGGTCAGGTTGTTGAAAAAGTGAGTCCGTAGATCGTGTCGATCATATTAATGTTCTATATACTTTCGACGAAAGAACATTCGAGATTCATTTTTTCAGTGTATATTGAGAATCGGTTAAGCTTAGTCTCGAGTGTTTGTAAATTAGTCAATATTATCCCATAATACTTATCATTAACAAACCTTCTACTGAATATTTTGAGTTTTACTTCTCTATTCTAAATATATATGATATCATGATTGTGCCCAAAAGATAAAGATTTCAAACTGCCTGGTTAAACGTCATAAAAAAAAAAAAATCCAAGTGTAATTAATCCTTGAGGAAAATTCCACGTGAAAAACGTTTGCGAGATCGCGTCTATTTTGTTGACCATTATGAATAGGCGCAATGACTTTTGAGTTTATATTTTACCCGTGATGTAATTGTAATTATGCATTAGTTAAATAAACAATCAAAAAAAAATCAAATACGCGAATAGAAATTATGAATATTCTAGATTCTAGATAGGTACGTAACACATGAATATACAAAACAACCGACTGAAGTTTGCACATCCTTTATTCCACCCATTCCCAGCATTTTAACAATGACTAGTATCGACCCTGCCGCAGCCTTCAAACTTTTACTCAAAGAGACCATAGAGAAACGCGAACAACAAGAGCAGGCAGGTATCAATGGTTGAAAATCGCCATTTTCTTTCTTTTTTAAATCATTAATTTTTTTTCTTTTTACTTATGACTTTTCACACGTTTAGGAACCTTTGCCAACAGATGAATTGTACTCTGGGTACGTATATATCTAATTTTATTTATGTATATAGATTTCGAAATATATTCGATAAATTCAATTATTTTTTTAAAAAATAGAATGTTCCAACCAAAGTAACAAATCTAACAACGAATGCTGTATCTAT